AAAAAAAAAAAGAACTATTAGATACAATTCTTATTACTAAGGAGCGTATGATGTAGCTGGGGGAGATAAGACATATAGTTAAATATAAAAAGAATCATTGAGCACTGTGTTGTACAGCTGAAACTAATTCTAAAAAATATGTATTTCATAATAAAAAATAATTTAAAAAAAAAGAATCATTGACACTGGATGGGGTAATTAGGAGGAGTTGGAACTTAATCTGGGCTGTAAAGGATGAATGGGCCCAAGGTTGAGGAGAGAATAACATAGGCATCCTTGATGGGGATATAAAAAGAGGAAAAGTATAAAAGTATATGGGAGTGGGGTGGTCAATACTTGTTTGTCTGGTATAGAGCTTTATATAGGACAGTAGTGGAGGTTAGGTAAGGCCAAAAGGGTTGGTGCCAGAGTGTGAAGAGCCTTGAAATCTTGTCCCTCCCACCCGCCTCCACCCATTTCACAGTACTAGCTACACAGCTAGAAAGAGGAAGTCTCCCCTGCTGAGTGTGCAAGAGGAAGCACAAGAAGATTCTGAGGCCTGTGAGCTGTAATGACTGCTTTTACTCGTGAACCAATTGTAGAGGCAACAGGAAGACCAGCGTACCAACCAGGCTGAGTCCCTCTGCCCAGAGGGCGTCACCACCCAAGCTGAAAGTGTTTGGGGAGATCAGGCATTGCTGTCTGGATGCTCGGCTCTCTCAGTGGCCATCATGTCTTTGACCTCTGCCTACCAGCATAAATTAGCAGAGAAGCTCACTATCCTGAATGATCGAGGTCAGGGGGTTCTCATCCGTATGTATAACATCAAGAAGGTAAGCATGAGCAACTGGGCTACTACTAATTATTCCAGCAGTAGTAGGGTGGGGAACCCTGAGGCCGGCAGGTCCAGCAGTTAGATTTTTTCCTCTTTCCCGCTGGTTTAACTGGCCTCCAGTAGCTTGGATTATACAGGCGAAGCAGGAAGGGAGGCTTTCTTTCAGGGCTTCCCCTTTCTAGGTATGATTCTCACCCCACTGAGAGAATTTGCCTTCTACTGGTTACGGGAGTAAGGGTGGGGTGGTAAATAATTACCTGTGTTCTGAATCACTGGGATCTAGAAATCTGGGTCTTATTGCTTATCCGCCCTATGCTGAAGATATTCAAAATTGGGTCTTAGCAAAAACTTCTGTGGAAGTACTCCCCAAAGAGGAAAAAATAAGTGTGATATTTATATTAAAAAAAAAAGGGTGGGTGCCTTCTGAGGTGCTTAGAGTCTGAGACAGCTTATGCTGTGGTTGTGTACGTGTATGTGAGGATAGGAACTGTGGAGTTGAGAGAAGCTGGTGGCAAGGGAAGTAAAGAGAGAAAGACCGGTGGGAGTGGGGAGTTTCTGGAAGACAAAATAGTGGACTTGGGGAGGGAAGTTTTGTGCATTTTAAAAATGGATTTTAATTCTAATTATATCAATTTATTACTAATTTTGGTCTTCCCATTAGTTCCCTATATAAAAATGATGAGTTTCTCAGTAGTAGGTATAATTGCTTTTAAAGAGAAGTTGGGGAAAATAAGATAGAAATCATAAATAACCAGAAAGTAAATGAAGCAAAACTGTCTAGTGTGATGTTTACCCTAAAGTATATTAACATTCTTCCATAAATTTTTAGATTGTTAAAGTAAAATCTTAATCTAGCATATTATGGATCATTATAAAAGATTTCAATCTTTAAAAATTATAAAAGACTTTAAGATCTCATTAATGGAATTAGAAATGTTAGCTATTATGCTACTGGTCAAATTTGTGCATTTTAAAATAAAACAAATCACCAAGAACATGGTTTCCCTGGTCACATGTCTCCTGTAAATGCCCTTTGTGATGATTTACTTATATAATGTACAAAATTATGATACTGTGTCCCCCTCAAAGTCTAACTCCTGAGCAGCTGCTTTTCTCACTCCTTCCGGCTTCAGCTGAAGGGTGGGGAGAGCTTCCTCTTTGCGCCGGGGCCAAGCAGACATTAAGCCTTACGCGGCAAGACAAGATGCCCAGGTTATTTAGCTCTTCTAATAGTTGGCTTAATGTCCTGGAACTTGTTCCTAACCTACTCTTAAGCTTTTATAATGAATTCTCACATTCCCTTTCCCTAAGAGAGATTGTGTGAGAATGAATCATACAGGAAGAGGTATGTTTCTGAAGGGCAGAAGAAAGTGTTGAAATACAGTGTGGTTTATCTCTGCAGACTTGTTCAGACCCCAAATCCAAGCCACCTTTCTTATTGGAAAAGTCCATGGAATCATCTCTCAAGTACATCAACAAGAAATTTCCCAACATAGATGTCCGGAACAGCACGGTGAGGATGCGGTCCCTCTTTTCTCTGAAACAACTCTATGCTTGAATGTCTCAAACTCTCCTCTTTGACTTCCTTTCTTTAAACTTTGCGGAAATGGAATAGCCTTCTTTTAGTTTTCCTAGGCTCAATCACAGGGCTTCAGGTTGTTGGAGTCTTGAGAATTCTGAGATAAAATGGGATTCTCCCAGGGTAGGCTTGAGCAAAGCATTGCCACTTTTTCAATTGCAAGATTCACGAGAACACTTCGTTCTTACAGAGAGACACCTCAACAACCCAGCAGGGTGCATATATTTTATTGTTGTTCCTGTTTCCCACTCAGTGTTTCCTTGCTAATTATCTTAGAATTATGTGTCTGGTGGGATATCCCTTATGAAATGTCAGCATTAGATTTCTTACCATCTTACCTACAGTATCTTCTCATTCTGCTTTTTTTTTTTTACTTTGATAAACCTCTAGGGACCTTGAAATTTCTTCTCATTTTGCATTCTATATCTAGTCAGAATCACATAACCACCCTATCTCCTAGATCTTCTCTTTTTAAAGACCTTCAAAGTGTTGGAGATTTTCCAACTTCCTCTGTCAGTGTACTTCAACTGTCTTTAAAAACGTTTTAGGTATAACTCTTTTTATTCTTGGGTTACTTTGATCACTTGTCTTCTTATTTTTTTTATTTTGTTTTGTGTTTCTCTCAGCAACATTTAGGACCAGTACATCGAGAAAAAACTGAGATAATTAGATTTCTCACCAACTACTACCAGTCATTTGTGGATGTCATGGAATTTCGGGTGAGCTCTCTTTAGCCCGGGTTCCGGGTTTAGTAGGCTTGTCCTTCTGAGGCTATTCCTTCTTTAATAAATGTTCATTTATGTTGCTTAATACTGCTTCTTGAAAGAATAAGATATACTGATAGTGAAGGGTATCCACTGTATTTTGCCAAGTATAATATGTACGTTTTTGCCCAAATTTGTGAGAGAAAAATAAGGATGCGCCTTGTATATGGGTAGTACTAATTCTGTATCTATATAAATGTGTTAATTCTTTTATTTATGCTTATGAGTTAAAAGTGTAACTCTAGAAATCAGTAACAATATCCATATGCAAAATAATATCCTGGAATATGATAATTGGCTTTGTTGAACTTCCAACGAACTTGCAACAACTAAGGGTTCTTGGCCTTCTATGATGCGTAAATATCGTAAATTTGTTACCAGTACAAAATTTCTTGTACCTTGTATCTGTTCTTGTGTTTTGTAATTATTTGTTACATAAAATTTCTTGTACCATAATATGTTAAAAAATAAATGCTAAAATTCCTTTATAATACAAAAAA